AAGGAGGGGGGGGGGGGGAGGGAGGGTATGGGTGTACCATTTGAGGTCATCATCACGGCACGCAGCCAGCCTCTTCTCCCATGTTGCATTGGACGAGCGCTTCTCGGCAGCGGTTGTTCCTACCGCTGTGGTGAGCGTCTTGGACACGGTGGTTCCCATTGTCAGGGAGGTGGCAAAGACGGGTGGGTTGGTTGGCGGTTGGTTGTTGGAGGGTGAGGGGGGGAGGGGGGTGGGGGGGGGGGGGGGGACAGCCATTGCCCAGCGAACACTACTCTGCATCGGCTCGTGGAGAGAAAGGGACGGATTGAGTGGGTGTGGGCATGGTGCTGAGAAGGAGGAGAGAGAGAAAGAGGCAGGGGATACGGATGGGTGACGCTGGGTATGGTGGTCGTGGCAGCAGTCGTGGGAGGGCAAGGGCGCGTGGCGCGAGTGCATCAACTGGGTTGGCCGCGACAATGGGATCGACATCGGGTGGGCTTCGCCAGTGTGGCCTGAAAACAGACCGGTCGAGAAGAAAACGACTGAGGATGGGGGGACTGGGTCGCCGGCGATCGAGGGTCTGGCGATGGAGCGCAGTCGAGCAGGAGATGACTGAGGACTCGGGCCAAGTGGGAGTCGGGGCGGGGACCGGGGCTGGGGCTGGGGCTGGGTCTGGGGCTGGGGCTGGGAAAGAGCCTGTCGGCTCGCTCGGGCTTGAAGAGGCCATGCGAAGAGCGCGTGAAAAGGCGGGATATGGAGTGCCGGTAACCAAAGTGCCCGAGATTCCAACAGACGAGCCTGATGCAGAGGCGAGCGGCAGCGGCAGCGGCAGCGGCAGCGGCAGCGGCAGCGGCAGCGGCAGCGGCAGCGGCAGCGGCAGCGGCAGCAGCAACAGCAGCAACAACAGCGGCAGCAGCAACAGCAGCTCGTCTCGCAGCATCATCAGTGGTATTGCAAGCACCGATGAAAGCAGTCATGAGCATGGCGAAAGTCTAGGCTCTGGATCTGGCAATGGCATCCACGGCAGAGTCAAGACGGCGGAGCAACGGCGGCGAGTAGTGGCTTACCTCGAGCACGAGATGGGCATCCGGCACGACGAGACGCCGCTCGAGGTGATGTCGGATGAGCTTGACATCGAGGCGCAGATTGCCATCTGCCACGAGCTCCTCGACGTGCCTGCCAAGATCCACGAGGTCGCATGGCTTGTGTTTGATCGCATGGACCGGCGTGGACGCGGCTGGCTGAGTATGGAGCAGACCGAAGTTGCCTTGCGCGCCGTCAACATCTGGCGCGGCCTCCGCATCCCGCACTACTCGGACATGTCGGTCCTCATGCATCGCTTTGATCTCGACGACAATGGACGACTCGAGTTTGTCGAGTTCCTCAACCTTCTCGTCCACGTTGTCGAGCTCACCCTCCTCTACTGGGGTGAGTCCATCTCCTACTCGGCGTCGGCGAGCGAGTCGTCACACTCATCTGTCTCGAGGAGTAGCTGCAGTAGCCACGCCACCAGCAGCTCAGCATCTGTGAGTTCCAGCTCGGACTCGGACGACCCCAGTTCTGGCTCGGGTTTGGACAAGCATGCCCAGATGGCCTTCTTTTCGCGACGCTATGATCCACATCGGTAGCGGTGGCTCGGGTGCGGCGAGTAAATCTGGGACTGCATGAGCACCGGACCGGCCGACGCTGGTGAGCGGCGCTGGTTATCAGCGACCAACATCTCACTCCCGCTTGCCTCAGCCGACCTCGGGAGTGGAAGCGTACAGTGCATGAGATGTTTGCGTTGCTAGCCAAGTCGGGATCGCTTGTGTACACAGCCATCAAGGGCTTGGATCTGTTTGTCAAGGCCGCCAATCTTCAGGCCAAAATCATGCCCGCCTCGTCACGCAAGACCAGGTGGATTCGGCTGGACGTGGGCGGTACGCAGTTCCTGACGACCAAGCACTCGCTGACGCAGGACAAGAAGTCGCTCTTCGGCCGGCTCTTTGCCCATGCCGAGTCGCTCGAGGGCGAGAAAGCGGTCAAGGCGAGCTGGAACTACAAGCTCAAGGCCGTGTGGTACGGCCCGTACTCGCCAGAGGTCGCCGTCCTCTTTGCCTCGCCACCCAAGCTCTACGATCAGGGCCTGCCCAAGGGCGCGTCGGCAATGCATCTGCTCGGCAAGACCAAGCTGCCGTCGCTGGCCCAGACAGCTGCCGCTGCCGCCGAGCGTGCTCAGGTCAACGCTCAGCTCAAGGACATCGACAAGGCCGAGCGCAAGCTGGCCAAGGAGCGGCTCGCCCTCGAGGCCCGCCTCGCCGACGCGCTCAAGAGCGAGTCGGACGTCGGCGGCGAGAGTGCCAAGAAGATCAAGATCCAACTGAAGGAGGTCGACGAGGCGCGGAAGGGCAAGATGCGTGAACGCGACAGTGTCAATGCCCGCATCCGCAAGCTGGACGCCCGCGAGGACGCCCAGCTTGCAAAGTCGTTTCTGCAGGGCGACGATGACATCCAGGAAGTTTTCCGCTTTGTGGCCAATCTCAAGTTCATCTCGCAGGAGAAGGACGACTTGTTTTACATCGACCGCGACCCGGTCCACTTTCGCCCGGTCCTCAACTACCTCCGCTACGGGCGCCTCATTCTCGACGCCGCTCCGGGCATGCCGCAGCCGGATCTGACCGGCGTTCTCGAGGAGGCCAAGTTCTTCCTCGTCCACGACCTCATCATCGAGGCCGAGCGGCTGCTGGCCGATCGAGCGCGTCAGGGCTTGTGAGTTTGAGCCGAGTCTCAGTCCGGGTCGGCTGCCTGCGGCAGCCGACCGCGAGCAATGACAAAGCGGACAAGACCCCCGGCGGCGAGGCGACGAAAGCCTGCGGCGGCGACTCGGAACTTGGCTGCAACGTACGTGTCGTACACGCCGGCGGCCGCAAGCGCCTCGGCATGTCCCGCCATAAACTGGTCAAAGCCGGCAAAGACGCCATCGGTCACATCGTCGACCACCACGCTGACAAAGCCGAGTGCCTCCAGCTTGGACCGCCAGCCGGCGGCGTCGTAGGCAAAGTTGGCGCGCGGGACACCGCCGGCAGCGAGGACGCATGCGAGGAGAGCCTTGCGGCAGACCGAAAGCTCGTCCCACGGCACAGCAGCCATGAGGCCGGCGGTGGCGAGCACGCCGCCCGGCGCGAGAACCCGGGCGGCGGCGGCGGCAAAGGCCTCACGGGTGGCAAAGTGGTAAGCGGCATCGAGGGCGAGGATGGCGTGCGGGCGGCGGCCATCACCGGCGACCACATCCTCGAGCTCCTCGGCGCGGGCGAGGACGACACGACCTGCCGTTGCTCCGCTTGCTTCAAGCCGCGCGCTGGCAATGGCGGCCTGCTGGGGCGCAGCCGTGATGCCAAGGGCGCTCGACGCGCCGTGGACCGAGAGCCACCGCTCGAGTGCATCGCCGCACCCGCAGCCGACGTCGACAACGTGCATGCCTTCACTGAGACCGGCCGCTGCCGCCAGCGCATCGGCGAGTCGCTCGTTGGCGGCGACAAAGGCGTTGGCTGCCGACGGCGAGGCAGCGAGCCCGGTCCACAGCCCGAGATTCATCCACGCCGTCGTCGGACCGCTCGCCGCCACGTTGAGCAGCCGATGCGAGGCATCATACCGCGACCGCGACGTGGCAGCAAGGTGGATGAGTGTCCGAAGCGGCCTAATCGCGATGGCCGCCACTACTCCGGAGACGATGCCGAAGAGAAAGGCAGCAGCGGCGATCGGAAGGGACATGGGACCAAGGGAGCGAGCTGAAGAGACGAGTATGATCAGGTCACATTCGTGGAAGCAAAGGGGATGGATAGCTGTCCGGGCGATTCTGTACTGTGCCTGTTCAGCAGATACACCTATCTATGTATGGGAGTGTGGGGGTCGTGGCCTGCTAGTGGTCGTCGGTGTCGATGGCCTTGCGGCGCTTGTCGTCCGGAGGCGGGTCGCCTATGCGGACGGCCGGGACACCCATGTAAAATCCGGGCTCTGTGATGTCCGAGGTGACGACCGAGCCAGCACCGATGACGGCGTTGTCACAGATGTTGACGGGCATGATGGTAGCGTTCGTGCCGATGAGGACGTTGTTGCCGAGAGTTGTCGCCTCCCACTTGTGGGCCTCGTCGGCAAAAGCGACGCGCATGTCGGAAAAGGCGTCGTTGATGAACTTGACGCCGTGGCCGATAAAGCAGTCATCGCCGATGGTGACGAGCGAGCACACAAAGGTGTGCGACTGGACGCGGGTCCGATTGCCGATGACCACGCCGGCCTGGATCTCGGAGAACGGGCCGACAAAAACATCGTCGCCAAGACGGCACTCGTACAGATTACACGGCTGAACAAGCGCACATCGCTCGCCGAAGACCACATCACGGATTTGGACCGCAAACTGCTTGACCGGCGCCCCGACATTGTCCGCCGTCGCCACCGCTTCCAAGCCTGCCACGTCAAAGCCGTCACCCGGCGGAAGGGACACCTTGGACATGCTTAGTATCACGCGCGCTCGCCTGCCTGCCTGCTTGCTTGCTTGCTTGCTTGCCTGCCGTCCGAAGTGCTCGTCTTTTTCGCCTTTGTCTTCTTGACCTATGCGAGAGTCGTCTAGTCTGTCCTCGTGAGAAAGGTCACCACCCCCTGCAAGGCCGGCGTCCTGCGGGGGGGGAGGGGGCGGGGATGGGCTCGGCTGGAGGCAGCCGGCGGTCGGTCATTTGCTCGCATACGGCTCGTGCTTCTTTTTTAGTTCGGGCAGTGCCAATTCGAGACGGCTAGATACCGGCCGCTCACGTGAGGTAGCAGTACAACAACGACAGAGAAGTAGTGATGCAAAGAAAGGGGTGATGGGTGAGGGAGTACATGCGGGATGGCTGTGAAGCTTCGTCATGTTGTGATGGTTGCGTCACAGAGCAAAGGCGGCGGCTGGTGAGTGAGCAGCGGTTCGCATTGGCGCCAAGCGGCGAGTGGCACTCCTCTCTGCCGCAACGTGCGGACGGGCGGAAGGAGCGGGCGGCGCGAGGTGCGGTGGCTGCAGGAGGATGACCAAGGCCACCGAGGCGGGCGACGAGGAAGAGAGGGGGAGCAAGGCTAGGGGCGAGGTGCAAAGGCTCAAGGCTAAGCGTGTGGTGGCGGCGGTAGGAGGCAAGCGCATGGTCCGAGTCCGCAAGGCGGCGGCGACGCGTGCGAGCAAGGCGGGCGAGCATGACGCTGGTCGGGTCCTGGCCACCCAGAGCTCCATCCGTGGACCGGTCTACCGGTTTTCTCCGGTAGTTGCCATGGTGGCCAAGGACTATCGGGTGCCAGATGACCCAGACAATGGTGATGGCAGTGGCGATGGCAGCGGCGGTGATGATGGAGACCAAGATCAAGGTGGCGGTGATGGCAAAGGGCACAAGCTCGCCTTTCGGTTCCTTAATACTGAGACTCGCATCATTCGGTCGACGCTCATGCTGCATGGCTATCACTGCATCGAGACAAAGAGCCAGGCACCGAGCGGACGCGTGGTGAGCGGGCGGGCGGCGGGAGGGCGAGCGGCGTCGAGATCGGACACGGATGTGGAGCAGATCTGTGCTGCTAGAGGGTCGGGCGCCGCCGCAAGGTCGGGCCCAGGCGTGAGGCCGGGCACCGGCGCAGCACCGCCGCTGCCGCCGCTGCCCAAGGCCAAGACGACGTGGTCGCTGCAGTGGAGCGGGTGCCACATCCGGCCGGGTGCGATGCGACGAATGGCTTCGTACCAGCGGATCAACCACTTTCCACGAGCGTTTGAGGTCACGCGCAAGGACCGTTTGTATCACAACGTGGCGCGGATGGCAGCGCGGTTTGGTGAGTCGTACGGGTTCATGCCTGCGACCTTTGCGCTGCCGCGCGAGCTTGATGCGTTTACGGCGCACTATCGGGCGCAACGGCGGCGGCGGATGTTTATTGTCAAGCCAACAACGCTCTCGCGCGGGCGCGGGATTTTCCTGGTCTCGGACTTGCGGCAGGTTGATGCTGCGGTGCTCGAGCACGCGTGTGTGGCGTCCGAGTACATCGCCAACCCGTACCTCATTGACGGGCTCAAGTTTGATCTCAGAATCTACGTCGTTGTCACCTCGTACTCGCCACTGCGGGTGTATGTGTACGAGGAGGGCCTCGCACGGTTCTGCACCGAGCAGTACTCTGCGGATCCGGCGCAGTGCGACAATTTGTTCATGCATCTCACCAACTACTCGGTCAACAAGTCGTCTGCCAAGTTTGTGGCCAACACCTCAGCGGCCGCTGATGGAGTCGGGTCCAAGTGGTCGCTTTCGGCGCTGTACGCGCGGCTGGCAGCTGACAGGGTTGATGTTGACGCCGTGGCAAGTGCGATCGACGACCTCATTGTCAAGACGTTTGTGGCGGTCGAGGGGCCGATGGGCAACGCCGAACGCTCCTTTGTCCCGCACGTCGGCAACTGCTTCGAGCTGTATGGCCTCGACATCCTGCTTGATGAGGGGCTCAAGCCGTGGCTCATTGAGGTCAACCTCACGCCGTCGCTCGCCTGCGGCTCGCCGCTCGATCTTAAGATCAAGGGCGAGCTGGTGGCAGACATGTTCAACCTCGTCGGGTTTGTCGACCCCAAAGCCGCCAAATCGATGCGTCCTCCGGCGGCGGCGTGTGACGTGACCCACGCGGCGCTCGAGGCACTCCTCGCGGACGAGTTCGCCCGCGCCGCAACAACTTCCTTTCGCATTCTTTACCCAGCCGCCGACGCGCCGTCGTACGTCAAATTCTTTGACGACAAGTCAACGGCGGTGCCGTCGCGGGTTGTCCGCGCGCTGTGGCGCAGGCCCGGCGAGCTTCGGGTCCTCGAACCGCCATCGGCCGCGGTAGTAGAGACCGAGCTGACCAAGCCGATGCGGTCAGCGGCGGCACGCCCGGCGACGGCACGCTCGCCAGCAAGGTCCAGAGCAAAACGTTGCTCCGAGTCCACGAGCGGGCGGGACGGTGGCCGGCCGCAGTCAGCCAAATCGACGCGGGCCAGCGGCGAGCGGTTGCGCGTCAAGCAGCTGCTGGCCTTTCCGGGCCCACTGCTCTCGATCCTCCAGGCACGGCGGACGTTCCAGGCGTATCTGGCTCGGCTCAGGGCGCGGCTGGAGAGCATGCTCGCGAGCGAGCCGCTCGACGTGGCAGGGGTGGCGGGCCAGACCAATCTCATCCACCGGTTTCTCCAGCGGACGGCAAGTGGAGGTGTGCCGGTCCTGCGTCAGCTGCCGTCGGTGGATGCGCTGATGGCCGACGCGGCGGATGCGCTGGCGGCACTGTCGGAGTTTGGCGCGCGGTACGCGTCAGAGACGACACGGCTGAGCGCGACGCCGGATGAGGTCGCTGCCCTCGGCAAGAGTCTTCTCAAGCCGAGCACCGGTGGAGGTAGCGCCAAGGGCGAACGCAAGAACGGACGCAAGTCCAAATCGCGGATGTCGGATAAGCTCTTTGACCGCATCGAGGCAACAGCGACCGAGGCTGAGCTCGAAATGCTCCTCACCCGGTTCACCGAACACGCCACGTCGGCTTCACTCTTTCTTGGTGGGTGAAGGAGCGGTTGGCAGCGAGTGAACGAGGTCCTGCACAAGCGAGACAAGCGGCGCGACAACAGCACCGCCGATAAAGGCTGCCACAGTTCGGGCGCGGGTCCGCGGGAGCATCAGCTTGCGGGCGCGACGGAAGAGAGTGGGGCGACGGGCGCGCGGCGGCCAGATAAGGGCGTTGGCAACAATGACTGCGTCTGTGGCAAGGACAGTGAAAACACTCAGGCAGCCAAGCTCAAAAGGCGACAGGATCCACGACTGTGGACGCTTCAGCTCCGCGTCGAGCAGTGCGAGCCACTGACCGGTGTCATCGCCGGAGGCATCGTCCGACTCGATGGCGTCGAGAGAGAGCGTGGCATGTGCGGCATCGTCGTCGGATGGAACGTTAGAGACGTCCGGTATTGTCATCAGCGATGGGCGTGAAGGAGCCGCAGCCTCGCCCGGGACGCGGATGCCCGCCTTGTCAGCACGTACGGCGGCGCGGCCCCGGACGGCTCGTGGGATCAAATGGTTCTCGATGACCTGATGTGCGCAGATGGCGACGACAAAGCCAAGATACGCCGAGGACATGAGTCGGGCAGGAGGCGGTAGTGGCAGAGTCCAGGGAGCAGCAGCGGTAGCAGCCACTGCAGCGTTTGTAGCCAGCGAGCCAGCGCCGAGAACAGCGGCCACGATGAGCGAGCGGCGGAAGGAGGCACACGCGTGGCAGGGGATGCCCTCCGAGGAGAGGCGAGCAGGCGGAGTGGGCGAGTACCACAGGCTCTCATGGACTTTGTTGGCTGCAATGAGTGCGCCTAGTCCGCCTACTGTCGTGGCGAGCCGGAGCATGCTAGAGATCGATCGAGTTGGGTGTTTGCCGTGAGTGGGGGGAGGGAGGGGGGTGAGGGGGACTGACAGGGGAACGCAGCTGACGGACTGGGTGCTGCAAGACGACAGACTACCACACATCCGATCTCCTCCACCATTCCACCATTGCGCCCATACCCTCATATGCTTCCATCTGGTGTATGAGATTGGAGAAGGACGATCGGAATGTTATCCCACGCCCGAGATCAGCCCCCCCCCCCCCCCCCCCCCCGGCCCCTGCCTCGCCCTCCTCTCCCCTCTCCTTGCCACTCAACTCGCCAGTCATGGGCAAGTCCAAGCGGAGCCGGCGTGAGGAGCGAGCCAACCAGCCGTACCGCATCAGGCAACGGGTGTACACTGCAGAAGGCGTGGAGATCGAGAGCACCATTCCGTCTGCTGATGTACTTGCCGGGCAGGCGCTCTCAGCTGTTACCGGTGGCCGTGTCCGCTCCTTCCATGACCATGCCCCTGCCGACCGGCGGATGGGCGAGGATGGCACCGATCCGACCGATGCAGGCATGAGCATGGAGGTGGTAGCCATGGACGGCGGTGGCGGGTCGGGAGGCAAGGGCAAGGGCAAGGCAAAGAAGAGCGGGGTGAGGTTGCTCTGACCATGGAGGAGATGGCCAGGGCTGAGCGGATCAGACAGGATGCTGCCGACCTTGCCGCCGCGGCTGGTATCGCCGAGGGTGGCAAGGTGGAGGAGGCTGCAGTGTATCGCAGCGGATCCAAGGTGACCAAGGGCGCGCTGATGCACAAGCACCGGTCAGAGTGGAAGCGGGTCCGCGAGGAGATCGCCGATCTCCGTGCAGCATCCAAGCGGCTCGACAAGCACGTGCTTGCAGAGAAGCAGGCCAAGAAGAACATCGCCCGCAAGATCAAGGAGATGTCCAAGGAGGTGAAGGAGCGTCACGCGGCCGAGATGGCGGCATGGGAGGCAGCTGCCAAGGAGCTTGGCGTCAAGCCGGTCAACTACGAGCCTGGTATGCTTAGCACCGCCGGAGCGAGCACGTCGACTGCAGGCGGCTCGGGCATGGACATTGTGCCGATGGACGGCGAGCAGGACGTCGGCCCGTCGGCCGCAAACGGCACTGTCTCGCTCTTTGCGCTTGGCGGGCGGGTTGAGACCTCGCGCGGGGCGCCGATCCCGCCTGCTGTGGCGGGGGGGAAGAAGAAGAAGAAGAAGCGTGGCAAGTGGGCGGCGCTGGTGGTCGACTTTTAGGGAGCAGCAGCAGGAGCTGACTAGGCCGCGATCTGGCGAAGGCGCTTGCGGAGGCGGGCCTTGATCCACTCGCGGTCGTGCGGGACGTACTGGCCCGTGGCGGACGAGGCCACGAGGCACGAGATGTCACCGAGCTGATCGATAAAGTTGAGCAGGTCCGAGATGTCGTACGAGAGGATGTCCTCGTCCGGGTTCAGCTGCTGCAGCCGCTGCTCGTACAGCTTGCACACGCCGTCCATGGCTGATGCCACAGACTCAAAGTCCGAGTACGTTCGCGACGACGGCTTGCGGTTGAGCTGAACGAGGACGATGGTGTGCGACTGGATGAACGTGTTGAATGCGAGGTGTGAGTTGGAGTGTGTCTTGGGAGGGAGGAGGGAGGGGGGAGCGGGGGCTTGCGACAGGCCTGCCACGGCGATACTACTTGCAGGCAGCAGCAAGCGGTGGTGGGGATGGGGAAGAGGGAGGGGGGGGGGGGGGGGGGGTGCTGTCGTACCATGGTGGGTGTTGGAGAAGTGGGAGAAGTGAGGGGAGTCGTTGAGTGTGGTGAGTGCGTGGGTGGGTGGGTGGGAGGGGAGGGGAGGGGGGGGGGGAGGTCTTACCAGCAAGGAGACGATGGATTCATGAGCTCGTTAGCTGGCAGGCTTGGTAGCTAGCTGGCTAGCTGGCGGGCGGGCTAACTGGTTGACTGGTTGACAATGCTGATTGCGTCTCGATCGACGTGGGGTGGTTGTGATCGTGGTTAGAGGCCCTTGTTAAAGGTAAAGTACTCGATGGGCTTGCCGGTGAGATCGACCTTGCCCTGGAACTCGGGCTCGAGGATGGAGGCCGGAACCGACTCGTCCTGCGGGAACATGGCGATGGCCATGGGGAGGAAGGTCATCATGCAAGTGGCAATGGTGACAACCTCGAGCGGAAGGGCAGCCTTGGGGAACTTCTTGAGGATGGAGGTGTTGCGGGCAATGACGTCCATGATGAGCGGCGGAAGGACCATGGGGAAGATGGGGAAGAAGACAGCACGGGAGAGGGCGGTCTTGGCCACGCCGATGATGCCGGCCTTGCGCGAGAGGCCGTGCTCGGTCCCAGTGTGGTCCTTGAGCATGACACCGTCAGTCAGCTCCTTGAACCGCATGATGACCATGCCGGCGGCACCGGCGGTGGCAACGGCAGCGTACGGCACAAGGCGGCCAACGACCGGCGGCAGCTTGGCGCCGTGCTTGAGCATGTACGACCGGCCGCTGAGAGAGACGCCGAGGGCCACCGAGGTGGCACCGACGTAGGCGGCGGCGATGGAGGTCATCGACTGCTCGGACGAGGCGTTGCGGTTGGCGTAGTTGACGCCGACGTTGAGCGACTGGTTGGCAATCTGGCCAGCCACCGTCATGGCGGCCGAGGCGCCTGGCCAGGTCATCCACACAATGAGCGGGATGTTGATGGGGATGAAGGCGGCCATGCGCAGCGGGAGCGGGATGGGCTTGCCGGTATCGGGGTGGATGACAGCTTCCTTGATCCGGCGGGCCTCCCACAGCTCAGCATCCGAGACCTTGGTCGAATCGACATGCCCAGCCCGGTAGGCCTCGAGCAGAGCCATCGAGTCATCGACCTGGGACGAGGTGATGAGCATGTTGGCCGGGTTCACCATGGACACAAAGTGCTTCCACCGCCCGTAGAAGGTCGACTGGTCGAACCTGGGTGAGGTGAGCGAGAACGGAGGGACGCCGGGTGAGGAAGCCATGCTGCAGTGCTTTGATGAGTAAAGAGGTGTGGTACCTGGGTTGGTTGGTTGGTGGTGGGTGGGGGTGGGGGAGGGGAGGGGGGGCACTGTCGTTGCGGATGGATGGCCGACTGGTGTCGTTGGGCGGACATGCGGGCTGCGCGAGGGAGGGGGGTGGGGGGAAGGGATGAGTGCCATCGGTGCAATCGGTGTGATCGGTGTGATGGGGATGAGGGGGGAATGACGGAGGGGACTGTTCATCCCATGTCTTGGCGAGGTGTAGAAACGGCGCAGCGTGCAGGCCTCTGACGCGGTCAAGAGTAGGACACTCGTCCCCAGCTCGTGTGCTGCGCCTCGACATGGATTCGCGCATCCCGCGGTCGGCGCCGTCGGCTACACAGTGCGATGCGCTTGATTTCGAGCGGACGTACCCAATGCTGGCGGAGATCACGTTTGATACGCGGATGATTAGGCTGGACTTGGCGACCGCCAACGCGCTCCGCCGCAGATGTGAGGAGAGCCGGCACAGCCTCGGCCGCGGCGAGCTCGTCGACGAGGATGATGGTTGTGTCCTAGACGCACTTGCGCAGGCCGTCGACAGCGCCATGACCGAGATGGGCATCAAGCACGCCTTTGTCCGGCTCTCGACGCGGTCACCCAAGGATGCCCGGATCCAGTCGGGTGAGGCCATGTCGGCACTCATCGACGAGGCGCTGTGCGACTTTGCGTCCGAGAACAACGGCTTTGACGCCTCGGGCGACAGCGACGCGGTGGTGGCGTCGGTCATTCGGGCGTGCGCCCAGGTCAACGCGGTCGCAAGCGGGAGCGAGGCTGTCGAGCTGCTTGGCAGCTCACGGCGGGTCTTCCAGGATCTCATCGGCCGGCTGCTCATGGCAGACGACGACGACTCGCTCGAGCTAGCGGTCCTAGTCAGGGCGTGGGCCGACGACGTATTCCACGAGCAGGAGCTCAGGTGCTGGGTATACTCGCGCCGACTCACGGCGGTGACCCAGTATTACAAGGCGCCGTATCTGGCGGCGTTGGACGCCGCAAGGGCCTCGCTCGTGCCTGCCCTCGAGGCCTGGTTTGCCACAGAGCTCCTGCCGCGCCTGCCGCCCGAGGTCGACACCTGCGTTGTCGACATCCTCCCGAGATGCATTTTCACGCCACACACCGGCGATCACCACTTTTATCTTGTCGAGCTCAACCACTGGGCGGCGACGACCTCATCGTCGCTGTTTGATTGGGCCTCGGACGCTGAGCTCCTCTGCTCAGGCGGCGACGGCGGCGAGGTGGTGTGGCGAATCCGGTCCGGCCCGGCCGACAACCCACGGGCCGCGCTGTACGGGCCGCTGCGTGAGCTTGCCGACAGCATGTACCCTGAAAAACGAGCAGTGAGTGCAGCATCCTGGTGCGCGGTGGTGTGATGGTGCATCCTCACAACCTAGAACCGCGAGAGATCGCGGCCAAAGATAAAGGTCTTCATCCAGTCGATAGGCACCTGCATCCGCGCGCGCCACGAGCCGAGCTTGGTCAGGTATGCCGAGCGCCAGACGAGCCAGGCGTGAAAGCCAGACAACGCGCCAACCGAGGCGCTAGACTCGGAAGAGGCGGGCTTGGGCTTGGCGTTGAGCTGGGCCATGGAAAAGTCAGCAACGCCGCGGTACGAGCCGATGTAGGCCAGCGCGCCTTTGGACTGAAAGTGGTACGGCTGAGAAGCGTCATGCCGACCGTAGACCACGTTCTTGAGGTGGTCGGCGAGGTAGTACGCCTGGGTCTCGGCCACCTGTGCAGTCTGTGGGTGGACGTTGTCCTCGATGGCGGCGCAGTCGCCGAGGGCGTAGATGTCGTCAAAGCCGTCGAGCTGGAGCTGGCCATTGACCTTGAACCGGCGCCGGAGGAGCGGGAAGCCACGGGTGGCCTCGAGGTGGGTGGTGAGCGGCCGCTCGCCGATGCCGGCGGCCCAGACGATGCAGGCCGATGGAATGACTTCGCCGTTGTCGAGGACGACGCCATTGGCCTTGACTGCGGTCACATTGTGCTTGACCAGCTCCATGTTTGCCCGCGACGTGATCGCCTTTTCGGTGTACGCGCGGAGCGAGGCGTGGAAGGTAGAGAGTAGGCCATCGCCGGTGACCAGCTTGACCTTGAGCGAGTCGGCCACCGACGGGTAGTACTTGACGACATCGGTGACGGCCATGTCGTAGAACTCGGAGGCAAACTCGACGCCGGTCGGCCCGCCGCCGACAACCACCACGTTGAGCAGCTCGTCGCGGCGCGCGGCCGAGAGGCGGCCAGCCATTGCACCCGTCGCTTCCTCGAGGTTGTCGAGGACCCGGGTGCGGATGGTGCGGGCGTGCGCGAGCTCTTTGAGGTACAGCGCGTGCTCTTGGACGCCCTCGAGACCAAAGGTGTTGGGATCCGAGCCGATGCCCATGACCAACACGTCGTAGCCGAGAGTGTACGGCTCGCCGGTCCCAACAACAGGCTCGCACATCACCCGTTTGGCCTCGGGATCAACATCGGTCGCCTCGGCGAGGTGAAAGTCGGCACCGGAGCGGAACCCGATGCGGCGCACATGCTCGATGATCGACCGGTGCTCGAGGGTGCCGGTGCAGGTCGAGGCGAGGAGCGGAGTGAAAAGAAAGTGGTTCCGTGGCGAGACCACTGTGACGTCAAACAGCTCGCGATCCACTGACTTTGCCAGCGCGTACGACGCCCAGCCGGTCCCGAGGATCACCATCCGCTTCCGCCCGCTCTTTGTCGCTTTGTTCGCCACGTCCAGTATGCTCCGCACGCTGCCTACGCTTGCGCTTGCCAAAGCTGCCCTTCCTACACTGCCTACAACATGCGTTACTCTCCGCACAAGCATGTTTTGCTACTGTCGCTTTCTTCTGAGTGATGTCGTAGTACGCTTCCTTGTCCTTCCCCACTCCATCTGATGGCCTCGCTCAGGCAGCGGCTCTCTTTTGTCGCTGCCACCATGTCGCGTCGCCGCCTCTCCCGCACCGTGCCATGACGCGCTTGATGGCCATCGCGCCATTATCCTTGTCCGGCGATGGGGTGGGAGACAGGCAAGTCCATACCAGTAATGACCTGTCATAGGTAGGCGGAGAGGGGGGGGGGGGGGGGGGCGTGCGGTTAGAGGTCTAGCCGATGAGATGGGGGCCAGCTCGCGGCCGACACGCGGCCTACATGCGGGGCGATGGCCACGAGGCGAGCCCGAGTCAGGCATGGCCGCTGGACTGTGACCCGCGATGAACTGCGGCAGACATAATGCGTGAACGAGCTATGTGCAAGGCTAATGCTTTGCAGCAGAGGCGATGACGCTCCGGGCTCAGGGCTCGATGTCGAGGCGATGCGGCGGATCGACGAGGCGGAGGGCGCCATGGGGATGGACGCGGATGCCGAGGACGCCATCCCACGGACTTGGGACGGCAAAGGTGGCGACGGGCGTCGGAGACGGGCCGTCGTCGGTCTGCTCGACTCTCCAGAAACGGCCCGTCAGACTGTTGGTCCCAGGCGTGTCGGCGATGGTGACGCCGACGATGGTGCCGACGTTGGCCCACGGCGCGGCCGAGTCAGCGATCCACTCGCCGTAGCCAGCGTAGACGTGGCCCGAGTCGAGATAGGCGGCGATCTGGTGTTTGCGCCAATTGGTTCCCCCCGCGACAACATGGAGCTCGTTGCTCCACTTGGACGGGACTGCCATGACCTCGGCCCACAGCGTGTGGACACCCGAAGCGGTGATGCAAGTCGCCGACCAGCCGTGTGAGACGATCGATGTATCATTCCACGCGAGCTTGTGCTGGTTCTCCCAAGGCGAGCCGTCTGGTATACGCGCGACGAGGCGACTCGCATCATCATCGACCGCCATGTGCAGGAGGCTTGAGCAAGAGAGAGATAGAGAGATAGAGAGTGTGTGTGAGAGAGATGTGGGCACGTGGAGATGCGACTGTTATGTCGGGCCTGACTGCGGTGCGGCGGCGGGGCTAGGAATGGCGGGAATAGCGGGAACAGCATGAGTGGCAGGGGACGGCGAGTCGGGTACCTCGCTGATGGTGGGGATGGTGACGACGGTCGGGATACGTGAGGTCGGCGACGGATCGCGCGAACCTTGGCGCGAGCCCTGGCGCGAGCCCTGGCGCGAGCTCTGGCGCGAACCTTGGCGCGAGCCCTGGCGCGAGACGACGCGCGATGACGAGCGCGAGCTGCTCTTGCGGCGCGGCGAGATGAGGGCCGAGGTCTCGGTGGCAATGAGCCGGCCGCCCTCGCCCATGTCGGCGCCGTCAAACACATCGGGTTCAAAGGTGCGGGCCGAGTCAGAGTCGGTGCCAGTAGCAAGAGGAGCATTGGGCGCAAGGAGAAAGTGGCGCGGCGAGGGCGCAGCCGACGAGCCGGGGCCCGAGTTGGGCGCCGACGGCGCGGGTAAGGCCGGGCCAACCATGCCGCGCGAGAGCTCGTACGCAGACATCGTGCGCATGATCGACTGGTTGACCGAGCCGCGTGCCGGGTCGCGGACCGTTCCCACCGAGTACACCACGCCCGAGTCGCGGAGGACCTCGACCGCAGACGCATCGCCGTTGATGTCGACCGACTCGGTCGTTCCATACAGCGGTGCAGTAATGGCGCGCTGATTGCCAGCGAGAGGGTCGCCCGAGGAGTACTGGCGTGGCGAGCCATGGCTCGCACCAACACCGGTGGCCTTGGCCACGATACCGACGGCTCGGCTCGGCACCCCGCCGTGGGCAGCGTCGATGTCGAGCGAGTTGCGGAGGCGGATGTACTCGCGGCGGCGCGAGGTAGTGATGAGTTTGAAAATGGCGAGGGCAACCACAAGAAGACAGAGGCCAGTGATACAGGCAATGACCACAATGTCCAGCGTGCTGACGTCGAATCGCGGCGAACCCGGCCCGCCGGTCGAGCCTGTCGCGCCCGACGTCGTCGCCGTCGCTGTCGCCGTCGCCGTCGTCGTCGCCGTCGCTGTCGCCGTCGCCGTCGTCGTCGCATTGTGTGCTGGTGGTGGCGGGCTCGCAGCCGATGTCGATCCAGACGACGAACTTGTTGCCGTCGCACTTGTCATGTTGGCGAGCACTACCAGTCCTGTCCCGCTCACATGCCCGCCGCTTGTGGCACCACCCGTCGCCGCAAGCACCACACCCGCCTGTGCGAGCAGAGCCACGACCAGCAGCCACCCAGCTGCAGACGCCGGTCGGTGCATGGTGATGGTAGAGGGGGGAGGGGAGAGAGAGAGAGAGAGTGGTGGTGGTGGCGGGGGTGGTGGTGGTGGTGAAGAGTGGTGGTTCAGTACGAGAGAACGGAGCCGAAAGCAGAGTGAGCAGGAGGAGGGGGGAAGGAGGAGCGAGTGTGTGCGTGACTTGGGCGAGGGCGAGGGATCCAACAGCATCAACCACCCCCTTCAGCCTCCCGTCATCCTCCCCCCATGTCCAAACAATTTTTATTCCACCCCCCACCCCCCACCCCCCCATCATGACTACGTGTGCGAGTGCTGTTGGTGAGTCACCACCACCGCTCGCCCACGCGCACGGCTTGGCAGCTGGAACGGCACCCAACTCACAGCGAGGAGTGGTGTGGGGCAGCAATGGCGGCAGCAGCGAGCAGTGTGCTGAGCCGGGCAGGGATGCGTGCGGTTGCTGCGCGAGCGCTGCGAGTGCCCAAAGAGCGGCCGTTTGCCTTTGGTATGGTGTTTTCCGGCTGCAAGACCTCGTTTGCTGACGGCCTGATCCAAAAGGTGGTGGAGAAGAGGGAGACGATGGACTGGAGGCGGAACGCCTCGTTTGCGCTCTTTGGCTTTGTCTATCTCGGAGCCATCCAGTACGCGCTGTACGTGCCGGTCTTCCAGCGGATCTTCCCGTACACCACCCAGTGGCTGGCCAAGCCCATCCGGGCCCGGCTCAAGGACACCCGCGGGTTGCGGACCATGCTCGCCCAGGTCGGCCTGGATCAGTGTGTCCACCATCCGCTGATGTACTTTCCAGCCTTCTATGGGACCAAGGTGTTGGTCAACGGCGGGTCGGTGGCCCAGGCTCGGGCCGAGTACGTGGGCAACCTGCCGAGCGACATGGTTGCGCTGTGGAAGATCTGGGTCCCAGCCACCATCATCAACTTTACCGTCTCGCCGCTCTGGTTCCGCATCCCGTTTGTGGCGTGCACCTCACTGGTGTGGACATGCATTCTCTCGGCCATGCGCGGGGCCATGGAGGCCGAGTCACTTGTCGACGATGACGCCGATTTTCTGGGCAACCAGGGTCGGGCGCTGCAGGACTCGATCCGGCTCTTCCAGTATGATTCGGTCCACAACATGCGGGTGGTCATTTCAGCCGTCGGCCCAGGCGCCGACGTCTCGTTCCTCCCGCGCATTGCTGGCATGGTCCATGATTTTGGCGGCAACTGCTACGAGTCCAAGATGATCCAGCTCGGCGGCGAGGCTGCGTACATCATGATGGTGGCCGTCGATCGCGGCCACTACGACGAGCTGCGCGAGGCGCTCCTCGCCTCGGGCCTCAACGTCGTCGTGCGTGTGCCTGAGAGCGAGTGGCCGGCTGAGGCTGCAGGCTCGACCGAGTCGGACGCGTCGGATCCCGAGACAACCGCGGATGTCTCGCAATTTATAGAGCGCATCGACGCGTTGCCGAGCACCGCACCACTACCCGGCGCAGCCATCCGGCGCGCCTTCTTCTCGCTGTACGGGCCAGACCGTCCGGGCCTTGTCCGCGACCTGGCGCAGTTCTTTGCCAAGCACGCCCTTGCCATCGACGATATGGACACCGCCCACGCCTCGACGTCTTACGGCGAGAAGTTCACCATGCGTGGCCAGGTCTCGCTCACGGCCACTGAGGCCCAGCTCGCCGACCTCTACTCTGACCTTGTCAAGCTCCGCGCCGAGCTCTCGCAGTACGACATTGTGCTCCGCTTTGACGAGCCCGAGCCGTAGCGCCAGCAGCCGGTTCTCGCCTCCCCCAACTGCCCCAATTGCAGCTCCAACAAAGGCAGGGTCGCCGTTGGGGGCACCGGCCACAGTAGCTGACTCGCTGTGACCAGTGGTGGACCACACGTGGACGCGATCTGACTACAATTTGACACGTGATAGCGTTTGCGCCAATTACCGCGGCCAAGACGTTCGGTGCCATGGCTCGTTCGTCACACGGCTCTCACCCCCCCACCCCCCCCTCACCCCTACCACCTGGCGGCGACAATGAATGTGGAGGGGGCGCTGGCCTTTGCACGACTCTCACCATTCCCTGTGGCCCTTGTTCCGGTGCCGCCGGACGAGACTCCGCCCGAAAGCCCATGGCTCACCGGCACGGGCTTGTCTGCCGAAGCGGTGGCGACCTGCGGCTCTGACCTGGTTGTGGCGAACACGGCCATGATTGACCTGCTCGCCGCTGCCGAGTGGGATGTCAACGCAGGCGACATCCAAGAAGCTTGCAGGAAGACTGGCGAGTCACAGTTTGCGATCGAGAGTCACAAGGGCCAGCTCGAGTTTAGACTTGATGCGTGCGTGGACGAGCCCCGGCTGGTGGTGGTCGTCGGCGAGAGCCGGGCGGTCGACATTGTTCGCGGCCCGCTCCACCAGTTTTTGAGCAGTCGCTCGACATGCTCTGCCTCATCAACTACCGCGGATGTCTGGAGATCATCAACCCGATGTGGACCGAGGTGCTGGGATGGAGCGAGGAGGAGCTAAAGGCCATTCCGCTTGTGGAGCGCAACCACCCTGACGACAAAGCGCAGACGATGGCCATGGTTCGCAAGGTTAACCAGGGCGGCGTCAAGCTCGTCACCTTTACCAATCGCATCATGGCCAAGGATGGGACGTACAAGAAACTGCTGTGGTCGATCTCGTCCGATCACAACTACAAGTACTGCGTGGCGCGCGACATCACCGAGATGGCCGAGCGCGAGGCTGCGCTGGCGGCGTCGGAACACAAGCTCCGTGAAGTTCTCTCAGCCTCGGGTGATGCCTACCTCGAGTGCGCCGAGGACGGTATCGTCCTAAGCTGCAACATGGCTACGCTCCGCCAGCTCGGTCGGACCGAGTCTGTAGACCTGGTTGGCTCGCCACTGGCCGGCCTTGTCCCCTCGCTCGACTCACTGTGGTCTCAAGTCACGGCCCGGCTCGAGGCACTCGACGGCGGAGAGCTGCCCTCGGACGACGATGAAGACACTTTGCCAGAATCGTCGTTTGACTTTCGGACGAGATTGCGCTGCGGATCGAGACGCTTGCTTCGGCGGATGTGCATGAGAAGCCGAAAGCCGCACCCAAGGGCATAAGCATGCAGCTCCAGCGAAGTGACTCGGACTCACGGCTGGCAGATGGCCGTCGATTGGCTGTGGTGGTCCGCAACGCGCGGGCATGCTACGATGGACGGACCCTGGTGCCTGTCGACGTTGTTGTGGAACGCAAGATGGATGCCAATGGGTGTCCACGGTTTACCACGACGTTGGTGGATGTGTCAGAGCGGATGCGGGCGTCGCTGGAGGCTGCAGCCCGGCGCGAGATGGAGAAGCGAGTCATGGCCAAGGCGCAGTTTCTCGCCAACATCTCGCACGAGCTCCGAACGCCGCTCAACGGGGTGCTCGGCATGACGTCGGCGATGCAGTCGACTGCGCTTACGACGGTCCAGCGTGAGAACATGACGGTGATTGACAAGTCTGCGCGCGCCCTGCTCTCACTCCTCGACGACCTGCTCACGTTTGCACAGGCCGACTCGGGCAATCTCGCGCTGCACTACCAGATTTTCTCGATCCAGGCGCTGCTTGACGACATGGAGATTATGCTCTCGAATGCCCTTGTGGCGGCGGGCAAAGATGCGGTATCCATCGCGCGGGTGAGCGCGGACCTCGAGCTGCCGCCTTTGTGTGTTGGCGACTCGCGACGGATCCGGCAAGTCTTCATGAACCTCATCTCGAACGCGGTCAAGTTTACCGAGCGCGGCCAAATTCGGCTTGCGGTGCGAGTGAAGCCGGCCGGTGACGGTGTCAAACTGCCTGGGGCAGTGCCTTGCAACGACGCCGCGCATCTCTTTGACTCTGAGCCTGACGACGATGATGCACCGGCGACTACCAGCGAGGCTGACGTTCCGTGGGCGGCGGTGCTGCCTGTGGAGATTGCGGTGACCGTGGCCGATTCTGGAATCGGGATGAGCAGTGAGCTCGTGAAGCGAGTCTTTGCTCCGTTTGAGCAGGCCGATGGCAGCATCAGGCGCAAGCACGGCGGTGCTGGGCTTGGCCTAGTGGTTGTCAAGGAGGTGACCCGGCTCTGTGGCGGAGATGTGAGTGTTGACTCTGCACCGGGCCTTGGGTCGGCGTTCCGCGCCACGTTTGTGTTTGGTGCGGTGCAAGATACGGCAGCGCAACACGCGCGCGTGCTTGGAGATGTGCGGCCGCTGCAGGAGGCGTCGATTCTGGTGGTGGGGGCAAATGCCAAACGGGCGGCGTGGCTAGCCCAACACTTTCAAGAGGCACCAGTCCGGGCGACCGACGTGGTGAGATTGGCAGACCCTTTCGACGCGTTGGTCGAAATCCGCGACGCCGCTTCATTTGGCGATCCATATAGTCTCGTCATCCTCGATCCGGATGAGACCATTTTGGATGCGTGGGCTGTCCTGCACTCGCTGGGGCGGTACAACCCAAGTCCGCTCGCACTCGGAACGCGGTTCATTGTGATTGGCGAAAGCGAGGCAGGCAATGCTGCAAGTGCTACTGAGAGTGGGCTGAAGAGCACGGTGGCAACGGTGGCATCGGACGTCGGGCGGCTGCGAGTCCTGCAGGCCGCGCTTGCAGTGCTCGACGGTGTACCGGCCCATGCTCACAGCGTCAGCAAGAAACGGCAGCGGGCGAGGCATCGCGTACGACACTTGTCGTACTCGCGCGAGTTGTCGCTCGGAGATCAGTCGACTGTGTCAACGTCACAGTCAGCGTCAGCGACACTAAGCCGATCCGAACTTGATGCCGTCATTTCGTGGCCTTCCCATCGGAGCGTGCTAGACGCGTGTGGCGACGGCGGCCTGGCAGCCTCGGTCTCGGTGGTATGCGTCAGCGATAAGGTTGGTCTAGTGGCGACACTCGCCGCTATGGGTGTGACGCAAGTCGTGACATGCCGAAGCGGGGCGCAGATGATGCTGGCATTGGGGCGGGCGCGGGCACAACACCAGCTGCCGCATCTGGTGATGATCGATGGCTCGCACGGGAGCAACGGGCTCCCGCAACTGGCACACACGGCACGAACAGCGCTCGGCAACCCAGATGGTATCACCCTGGCTGCGGTGGTTGATGACTACGACGTGTTCGGCAATGTTGATGGCTTTGACGAGGTTCTGGCACCGCCTGTGGACCGCGACGATCTGATGGACGCGGCATGTCGGGCGCTGGTGCGAGCGAAGGTGGCCGAGGTCGAACACATGCTCCAGTTCTCGCAGCTTCCTGGCGGCAAGCTTCAGGTGCTAGTTGTGGATGACATCGAGGTGAACCGAATGGTTCTCTCCGCACTGCTCGCGAACATGTCAGCCGAGGTTGCCGAGGCGTGCGACGGCGACGAGATGCTGAGCCAGCTGAACGCCGACTGCCACGCGGTTGACCTTGTTCTCCTCGACTGCCACATGCCTGTCAAGGACGGCTATGCAGCGGCAGCAGAGCTCCGCATGCTTGAGTGCGATGGCGAGTGCGACAGGCGGCTGCCGATCTCTGCGGTGACGGCAGACACGGGAGCCGAGAAAGAGGCGCTGCGGTCTGGAATGGACCTCTGCCTCTTCAAGCCGATTTCCCGCGCGGCAATCCAGGCTGCGGTAGCGCTGCTGGTGGAGCGGGCGCTGCCGCGCGATGCGCTGAACCCCCCGACGCTGCCGCCTCCCCTCCGTGATCAAATCGCGGGAGCGCAGCCGTCATTGGGCGACGTGGCCCGTGCCGATCTCGATGTGATGGTGGCCGGCCTTGTCCTCTGCGGCCGGCCTCGGGCGGCGTGTGCACTCAAGCTCTCTTGGGACGTGGCGCAAGAGTCGACACGAAGCGGGCTGATAGATGGACTGTGCCGGCTAGTTGACGATGTCATCAATGAATGAGCCGACGGGCAAGATTGCTCGCAGTCAGGCCTCTTTCTTTCTTTGACGACACACACACACACACACACACACGCACACACACACACACACACACACAGCAGGTAGGGATTGAACATGGAGCCAAGACCGGACTCGACGACACCACGGGCAGTGGTGTACTTTGCGGCGACGCGGCCGCCGTTTTTGCTGGCGGCTGCGGTGCCGGTGGCGCTGGGCTTGGCAGCGGTGGCAGCCGACGGCGCGGCAGTGTATGCGGTGCGGGCATTGGCAACGGCGATCGGAGCGGTACTCGCACTTGCGGGAGCAAACATCCTCAACGATTACTACGATGCCGAGAGCGGGACGGATGAGATTAACACCGGGCGAATCTTCCCGTTCACCGGCGGCTCGCGGTTCATCCAGAACAAGGTCATTGCCAAGGAGAACATGCTGAAGTTCGGCCTGGCGCTGCTGGCGGCGACGGCTGCAATCGGTCTGGCGCTGACGGCGGTGGCCGGGGTCGGACTGGTGGGCATCGGCGTGCTGGGCCTTGTTATTGCATGGGGCTACACGGCGCCGCCGCTCAATCTGGCGGCACGCGGGCTCGGCGAGGCTGCGGTGGCGGCCTCGTTCGGCCTCCTCATCCCGGTCGGTACCTACTATGCACAGACGTCGGGATGGAGCACGAGCCCGCTAGTGATCGGCACGCCGTATGCGCTCCTCGTCTCGAACTTGCTGGTCATCAACATGTTTCCTGACGCCAAGGCCGACGCCGCTGTGGGCAAGCGGACGTCTGTGGTGCGGCTTGGCCCCGCGCGGGCCTCGTACCTCTACGTCGGCTCGACCTCTGCTGCGCTGTGCTGGCTCTGGGCCACGATGCCGGAGGAGATGGGCGCAACCGGACAGATGCTAGCCGGCCTCCCGCTCGCCCTCTCCCTCCGCGCCGGACTCGACGTCGTTGCCTTTGCCGATGAGCCGTCCAAGCTCGCGCGGGCCATCCCGCTCACCATCGCCGCTGCACTTCTCCACGGCACGCTGTATGCCGTTGCGCTTGTGTGGTTTTGATTGAAGATTCATGAAGAAGGCATAAAAGGCCGAGACATGAAGGAAGGGGGGGGCGGGGAGTGCTGGGCCGATGGCTGCGGGGCGCGTCACCGCCGCAGCAGTATGTCCTGATCCGGATCGGGACGGCACCACCTCACCACCTCACACGCCCCCCCCCCCTCTCACCCACTACCACCACCTCTACTTCGAGGGCACCGGTATAAAAGGGCTTTGTGTCAGGGATGCAGAGGGTGCGTGGGATGGCGGTCCACTGGGGCGAGCGGGCGAGGCAGCGGCAGGCGGTGGTCAATGCCTTCTGGGCGGCGGTGTGGCGGTTCGGCTACGGCCCTGTGGAGGGCCCGCTTGTCGAGCCAGCAGGTACCTTTACGGCTTCGCTCGGAGACAGCTCGGACATTGTGCAGAAAGAGATGTTTGAACTTGCTGGGGCAAGGGCTAGCGAGGCGAGTGCTGGGCGCGATGGTGGGCAGAAGCTCGTACTGCGTCCCGAGGGCACAGCGGGCCTGGTGCGCGAGGTGGTGGCCTCCACCTTTGGCGCGGCGAGTACTATCGGGCCGACAGCGCCGCTGCGGCTGGCGTATGCAGGGCCGATGTTTCGCCGCGAGCGGCCGCAGCGCGGGCGGGAGCGCCAGTTCACCCAGCTCGGCATCGAGGTCTTTGGCCTCGGAAAGGAGGTGCAGGACGGCGGGGCATACGCTAGTGTGCAGGGGGAGTTGGAGGCGCTCGAAGCTGCGTCGGGCTTCCTCGCCGACATCGGGCTCCAGTCTGGCAGCGACTACCAGCTCCGGATCAACAGCCTTGGGACGAGCGCGTGCCAGGGAGCGTACGCCGAGGTGTTGCGCGAGTACTTTAACTCAGCGGCGGCCGACGGTGGACTTTCGGGTGAGTCTGTGGCGCGTCTGGAGCGCGGTGCACCGCTGCGCATCCTCGACTCGAAGCATCCGGCAGACGCCGCCGCTGTGGCCGGCGCGCCGACGCTACTTGGCTCGGGGCTGCTGAGTTCTGCGGCCGAGGCGCGGTTCCATGCGCTCTGCGACGGTCTCGCAGCCGCTGGCATCGACTACGTCGTCGACGAGACGCTCGTCCGCGGCCTCGACTACTACACCGAGACCGTGTTTGAAGTTGTGGGCTCGGCAACCTCACTCGGCGCGTCGCAGGCGACGCTGCTCGCCGGTGGGCGCTACGGCGAGCTTGCAACTGTCATGGGTGGGCCGGCGAGCCTACCCGGCCTCGGCTGGGCCGCCGGCCTCGAGCGGCTTGTCCTCGCGCTCGACGAGACCCATGGGAGCGAAGGATGGGGCCCCGGCGCGGCCCGACCAGTGGCGGTCATTTCGACCAGCGGTGATGCGGTGGCGAGTGCGACGGACATCGCGCGCGAGCTGCGGGTGTCGGCTCATTGTTCATCTCTGCCTGTAGTCCACGACTATGACGGCGTAGTCAAGCCGCTCTCCTCCTCGGCCGTCTCGAAGCGGCTCCGCCGGGCCGCCAAGGCCGGCGCTCGTCTTGTAGTCCTCGTTTATTCTCCGGATCGGATCGTTGTGCGCGACCTAGATGCTGCCTCGCAAGTCGAAGTTGCACGCGATGGCGTTGTTGCCGCCGTGGCCGAACTAACAGCGTCATGACCCGGTACAAAGCTGGAATAATTTGCTCAGTTTGATATTGACCCAATCTCGAACGTTCTCTGATACTTTGTGTCCCTGTCACCCGCTCCTCTCAGCAAGCAGGCGGCAGAGGGCAAGTCACTTGACGCCTGTAACTCCACACCTTCCTCCCCCCCCCCCCCCAAACACACCGCCACACCCGCTGTACTTGTCGAGTTCGAAGCATACCCCACATGTGGCTCGGTTGTGTGACTCTGCTGGGAGCTGTCGTCATGGTGGCGCTCCTGCCATCGGCCGTTCCCGCAGACGTCGCTGGTGCGGCCCAGAGCCGAAACCCCCGGCAAGCGGTTGAGGCGAGCGCCGTTCTAGTGGGGACGACCTCGATGGGAGAGTTTATTCGATTCGGTGCGCGAAGCATGGCAGCCGGTGTGTTACGGACCCGCAAGCGTGACTGGGACGTGGCGGTGACCGAGTCGTCGCCTCGCGATGCCATGCATGCGCTCATGGCGTCAATCCCCCATCGGGGCTTGACAGCAAAGGCGGTACGGTGGAGGAGTTGTCAGGCGCTGTGGCGCTTGAGATTGTCGATCCGGGCGCATACTTGGGAGAGCAATGTCCACAAGAGCTACTGGCGCAGGGCAGGCAGTGCGAGACGTATGTGGCAGCAGCGCCGGTGGTCATCTCGTACCTGGTGCCTGTGGTCCATCTCCCGGGCCTCATGCATGACTTTGCGCTCACACCGCAACTGCTTGTTTGGATTTGGGAAGGTCGCATCACACGATGGAACGATCCGAGAATAGTGGCGGCCAATCCTGGTGTTACACTACCGAACGCCACAGTTGCGATTGTGGCGCACGGCGACGCCGGTGTCGATGTGGTCGTGGCGCGGCTGCAGACACGGCTGGGGTCGTCTATGGACGAGCCAGCGGTGGGAGAGGGAATGCGGATTGCCGTGGCATCGATGGACGAGGCCATGACGCGAGTGATGGCAACAGTGCACACGCTGACAGTTGTAACATCGGAGACTGCGGTTCGGTTCACCGGCTCGGTTACGGTGGCCCGGATGCTGCCGATGCACGGGGCCGCGATTGCCGTCTCGCGCCACACTGTCGAGGTGGGGGCCAACGGCATGGACATTAGCAATCTTGCGGCACTGGCCTCGGGTGTCACAGACGGATGGCCGCTGGTCTATGCCGAATGGCTGATGATCCCTCGCGACCTTAGCGACGTGAGTCACGCGCGATGCGAGGCGATTAAGAGCACGGTCGCCGGGGCGATGCACCTTGTCTCGTCGCGATTTGTTCAGGCGCATGCATGGGATCACGGCCATGTCCCGCTCCCACCGTCGATTGTCGAGTATGCGCTGGCGTCGCTCGAGTCCATCAAGTGCGGAGGCACCTTTGCCGCTCCGTCTGTTGGCTCGGTACGTGGATCTGGTAAGACCGTTGCAGCACCGCTGTATCTCTCGACGATGGCCCTGTTTAACGAGCTCAAGGGGCGCCAGCTACGTTACCAGAGCCACGGCTTGGGCATGGCCGACGTAGTTGGTGGCATCTCGGTCTTTGGCGGCGTCGACGTGGTGACCGAGACGGATGCACAAGCCCTGGACCAGGTTGTGGTCGTTCCCGCCGCCGGCATCAGCATTGCACTGCCGTACACGTTGGAGCTCGGGCCGGGCGCGCCGCAAGTTGTACCGCACCTACAGCTCGACGGCACGCTGCTCGCAAACCTCTTTCTTGGCAGAGTGACGCGGTGGGACGATGCCGCGATTTCATTGCTCAACCCAGGACTCGCCGGGCACCTGCCCAACGCCACGATTTGCTTGGCGGTGCTCGACACAAGCTCGGGGACAACGTACACCCTGACGTCTGCCCTTTCGGCGCTTTCGCCCGAGTTTGGTAACCGGGTTGGCGCGGTGGCGTACGTGGCGCCGGGGCTGTGGCCGGCGGAGGACCGCGGCGGTTGCGTGGTTCGGTACGGGTCGGAAGCGGACCTTGCCAGCGGCATTGCCAACTCGCAGAATATGATCGGGGCCAGTGACTATGCCCACGTCCGGACTCACAATCTTGTGACGGCGCGGATGTTCAATGCGGCGGGGCGAGTTGTGGAGCCCGGGGTTGCCAACGTGGTGTCGGCGATGCGCGAGGCCGACAAGCAGGCGGCAGTCAGTGAGCCGCATTCTCTCGTGAGGAGACTCGTCAACATGGGAGGCGAGCAGACGTGGCCGATCTGCACGTATGTGTATTTTACAGTGCAGCTAGCATCGTCGGGCGAGTGCAGCGGGGTACATGTCTTTGCAGAGTTTTACTCATGGCTGCTGACCTCGGAGGATGCGCCGCTTGCGATGGCGCGGGCAGCTGTGGCCCCGCTTCCGAACACGACGGTTGCGGACGCGCTTGCCTTGCTCGGAACGGCCACATGCAATGGCGTGCCTGTGTTTGGTGGCTGTTTCGGAAAAGAGTGCCGTGTGGCGCCGAGTTTATCGCCAACGGGGCTGGTCGTGCTCTACGTGGTGCTTGGCGCTACTGGTGTGATCTGCTGTGTTGCGGCGATTGGGATGGTATGGCACTGTCGAGCGCGCGACGTTGTGTTCAAGCTGGACGTGGCCAAGGAAGTTGCCATCGAGCTTGACGAGCTTGAGGTGTGCAGCGCAGTTGGAGCCGGCTCGTTCGGAACGGTGTACTTGGTGAAGTGGCGCGGCGCGCCAATGGCGGTGAAGCATGTGCACGATCTCGACAAGGACGCGACGCGGCTGAACGCGTTTGTGAGCGAGGCAAAGATGTTGATGCAGCTGCGGCATCCGTACATTGTGCTGTTCATGGGCATTGTGGTGGAGCCTGCTGGACTTGTGACCGAGTACATGCCGAACGGATCGCTCTACTCTGCGCTGCACAACTTTGAGTATGCGCTCGGCCGCGACCTGGTGCTCTGGTGGGCGCACTGCATTGCGCTCGGGCTCGATTTTCTACACTCTGCGGGAGTGGTCCATCGCGACATGAAGTCGCTGAACGTGCTCCTCGACGCTGGGTGGGTGCCAAAGATCTGTGACTTTGGCCTCTCTGCGGTCATTTCGCCCAAGTCTACAATGGCAAGGAACGGGGACAAGAAGCGAGGCGTGGATCGAGCGCGGTCGACGCGGCGAGGGCTGTTCGAGTCACCTTCGTTGGCAGTCTCAGACAAGGGCGACGGGCTGGACAAGACGTTGGCCTCGTCTGATCCGTTTGAGGCGCGCATCGTGACACAGGTGGGCTCCGGTGGTTTCAACACGCAGTCTATTCGGAAGCGGTTTGCGCTCCGCAAGCGCGGTGCTGGAGCGAACAAAAACCTGGGCTCACTGCTGTGGACCGCGCCCGAGGTGCTGGACGACGGTGTCGCGGCGGCGAGTAGTGCAAGCGATGTGTACGCGTTTGCAGTGACGCTGTGGGAACTGCTCTCACGATGCGATCCGTACTCGGGGCGGAATCCTGTGTCCGTGGCACTGGAGGTGTCTGTTGGGCTGGCGCGGCCGATTTTGTCGGTCATTCCGGGCTGGGCGCACGAGTATGTGCCGCTGCTTACGGACGGGTGGCATCAGGACGCTAGCGAGCGGCCGACCATGGCCGAGATTGCGCAGCAGCTGGCGAGCAAGTACTCGCTGAGTGAGGTGGTGACGCCGTCTGTGGCAGCGCTGCCGTCGGGCCATGTGGTGCTCGCGCGGGCATCGCTGGTCAACGGGGCGGCGCTCCTTTTTGAGGCGCCTAAGGTTGCGGAGACGATCCTGGGCCAGTTCCACAATGCAATGCGCCAGGCAGCAACGATGGCGTCTGCGCACATGCTGGAGACAACCCTGACCGACGTGCTGATTGCGTTCAAGGTGGCGTCGCAGGTGGCGGTCTTTGCGCAGTACTTTCTCACCGAGTCCGAGTCTGAGCTCCTGGAGGCGACGAGGCTGGTTGTGGCGCAAGGCTCGATTGTCTCGCGCGTGGTGCGGGGCCAGGGGGTGATGGATAAGCAGCTGGTGTTCTCCGGCTCGGCGGTGGAGCGACTTGTACATGGGCTGCGGAGCAAGGCGGCGCTCCGGGGAGAACCAGGCTTGTATGTGACACCAAGCGTTGTCAAGGAGCTCGGGGGGTGATCCGGGCCGATCGCAGCTGTGAGGTGACGCTTGCAAAGGTTGGGTCGAGCGGTATGGCACGGATTGTGACCGTAGATGCGCTGGCGTCAGTGTCGTCGACAGCAATGCAGAGCGCGCCCGAGCAGCGGAACATGGATATGTCCAAGGCTGTGCCGCAGCGTGCGATGCGACACTCGCTGACGGTGAGGAGAGAGCACAAGAGTCGCGCGGCGTCGATGTCGTCGGCGGAGCTACTGAGCCTGTCATCGTCGTCATCGTCAGGTTCACTACCGGCCTCGGGCGGATTAGGCGCTTCGCTGCCCGGCGGCGGCAGCGGCAACAGGGAGTATGGCAGTATTCCGACGATTGATTCCAGCGCAACGCCGCCCTTGCTTCCGCCGGCGGCGAATTTGGAACTGGTGGGAATATCAATGCCTGTCGGCTCGTCAGGTTCGGGCACTGGGTCTGCTGGGGTCGAGCAGTTTACGGAGAAAGTGGGAATGATGATGTCGAACGAGTCGCAGGGGGTGCTGATGTCTGTCCCGCAAGCCCGGGCGATGATCCAGCGCGGAATGCACATCGGAAGCGGGTCGTTTACGCGTGTTCTGGTCTCAGACCTCAACGGGCGGCGGGTGTTGGTCAAGGTGCTGATGGAGCAGTCGCCGTCGCAGGAATCGCTCATTACACTGGCCTGCGGGCTGGCGGAGGTGATGCGGACGTCGCAGCTTGCTGCAGTCGGCTCTGTGGTAGCGCCGGTGGCGATCTCGTGCCTGCGGCCGTACATTAGTTTTGCAGTCCCGTTCTACGAGCTCGGCTCGCTTGCAGCGGCGATGCAGAACGGGCGGACAGATCCCAAGTTCCTGCGGACTGTGGCGCTGGCGACGGGGCGCGCCGTGGCGGGCCTCCATCGCATCGGAAAGTACCACGGAGCGCTCAAGCCGACGAATGTACTTCTGAGCAACTCAGGCGGCTCGTCTGTGGCGCTCTCTGACGTCGGCCTCACGCGAGTCAAGGTGTCTGTGGCGACAATGACCATGTCGCCGTCGGTGGCCTTCCTCGCGCCCGAGATCCTCACTGGCGGAGTCGAGGGCCCACCGTCGGACGTGTACTCTTTTGGCTCTCTGCTGTATGAAATGCTGACGGGCAAGCCGGCGTTTGAAGGCGAGTCGACCATGCAGGTGGCGCACAAGATTTCCAAGAACGAGCTTCCGGAGACTACCGGCATTGCCTCACATCGACTCTCTCGCCTGCTGGCAGCCTGTTGGCTCACCCGGCCGTCTGATCGGGTGGAGATGTCAACTGCCGTGGAGCTCATTCTCGACACCAGTGAGAGTGACTTTGAGCGTGTGACGGAGGCGTAAAGAAAAAAAGGTGCACGGAAAAATGCAAGTCGGCAGCAAGGCAGTCTGCACTCGACGCTTGGTCCTGCTTGACTTGGAGTGCATCATCTCGCATGACTCGTATGACCTGTGCGGTTGGTCTCGCCCGCGTCGTCCGTGAATCTGCTCTGGTTGCCCTGGCTGTCTTGGTCGTGTTCCTGCTCTTGGCGACAGGTGCCGATGCGGTGACGGACCCGCAGGAGGTGGCTGCACTGGTCGACTTTTACAACGCCACGGGAGGGCCTAGTTGGTCGACGAACAGCGGGTGGTTGAAGGGTGACCCGTGTGGGTAGGTTGTGCAGTTGGTGGGAGGGTGGGGGGAGGGGGGGGAGAGGGGGGAGGGTGGTGGCTGGCTGGCGCACGTGCGGAGGAGAGGGTGACGCTTTTTTTTGGCGGCTTTTTTTTTCAAGCAAGACCGATGAAGCAAGCGACTGATAAGCGGGTGGTTGTCGATGGTGGGGATGCAGGAACCATTGGTTTGGTGTCAAGTGCCACAACCCGGGTGTGGCTGGAGCGGACGGATACGAGCATGTGTATGCGCTGGAAGTTGCGCAGAACAACCTGAAGGGAACAGTGCCGGCGTCGATCGGCAACCTGAAGGATCTGGTGTGGTTTGCGGCCGACATTTTCAACTCGCTGAGCGGGACACTGCCGGCGACAGTTGGATCGTGGACGTCGATGCAGCTGTTCACCATTGCCGGCTCGCAGGGCGGGGCAGGTGACAAGTTCTCGGGTGCGTTCCCAGAAGCGGCGTGCGAGTGGAAAGACGTGATCATCATCCACGCCGGCGACAACGCGTTTACCTCGGCGCCTGGCTGCCTGTGCCAGCTAGAGGGCCTCTCCAACTGCGACTTTTCCGGCAACCCACTCTCGTGCACCGGCTTTGATCGTTGCCTCGAGCAAAAGTGCGGCGCCAAGTGTGTGAGCGAGTGACGACAGCTACAGGCAGTGAATAAGATAGACGTTGTCGGCGGGGCGACGTCGGCGTGGTCGGCGAGAAAGGCCTCGACCTGGGCGGCAAAGTAACCATAGATGGCATCTGGAAGGCTGAAGAGGCCGAGGACGCCGATCATCCACAGCCAGCGGCCGACGCCCCAGCCGGCACGGTAGGCGAGCCAGGCGTCGTCAAAGGTAAACGCAGCGGGATCGACACCAGCAGCGGTGAGAGCCTCCCAGTAGGCACGAACGTAGGCGTGCTCGTGCTCGCGGCGAAGCGCTGGTGGGGCATCAGAAATGACCAGCTGAGTGAGGTCGGCCATCGGATGGGTGGGGCCGACGACAGCCCAGTCAAGGAGGGTCACCTCCCACTCGCCAGAGCCAACGTCGTTGCGGACAAAGACGTTGTGGCCGTGAAAATCGCCGTGGCCAAGGGCAAAAGGCCCGTCGTCAATGAGTTTGGCATATGCGGTGCGGAAGCGATCCCAGGACGAGGCTGCGAGCGAGGCGTCCATGGCAGCGATGAGCCGCGGATAGAGGCCGCTGGCGTCGAGCGGTTCGCGGGCCGAGGCCCAACCGCGGGCAACGTCGGCCATGACATTCTCCCACTTGACGCGACCGGCTTCTGCTTCATCGTCACCGTAGTACGGGGCGCCGCGGAGGTAGGGGACCTTCAGCAGCGAGGCGTCGCGCCAGGTGGCGGCGTGGAGCTTGGCGGCAGCGCGGGCAACGAGGCTGAACAGGTCGCCGAGGTTGTGATCGGCGAGGTAGGCATCGTGGGCTGGCGCGACGCCTGGAGCCGGCATGTCCTTGAACTGATTGCCCATGGCAACGACGGAAAGAAAGGCCGTGTCCGGAGCAAGAAACTCAAGCGCAATCTCGTAGTCCCCGGACTCCATCACGCCGCGGGCGCCGTATACAGCCGGGATGAGGAAGCCGAGTGCCGGGCGGAGCTCGTTGGCGATACCAGCGTAGAACAGAGCCTCGCGGGCCGAGCCGTGCTTGATGGATCCAGCCCGGCCAAACTCGTTGTCGTTGAGCAGCTTGTACGCCACCATGACGTCGCCGATCGAGTCGTCCGACGTAGGTGGCTCGGTACTTTCTTTCCGACTCGTGGAAACCACGTAGGCATGCAGGGCGCCGACAAAGCCACCTGCCAGCTGGGCAGTATGGGTGGCGGTGTGCGGGGTGTGGCTGAGGAAGGGGCCTTCCGTGAGCAGGTCCAGCGGGAGGGCGGGGGTGTCAGTCATGGGTAGCGGAGTGAAGGGTGGGGTACTGGGGGGTGCGGGGGGGGGGAGGGGGGGGGCTCACGGTGATGCGGCTCGACGAGCAGGTGACCGAGGGAGGGAAGGACACACACACACAGGGTGGTGGAGAGTACGTACACGGCAACGTCCTTGGCATCGACCCAGTTGGCAGAGTGGACGTCAAACTGGGCAAAGAGCTGGCGGGCAAACGGCGGTGAGGCGACGTTGAGCTCGTCGACGACGGTGACAAAGTCTTCGCAGGTAACACCCTTGTTACGGAGCTGGATCTTACGCAGCTCCTCCTTGAGGGCAAAGAGGTCCTTTCTCGACACAAGCGCGCTCTTCTGGAGTCGCTTGACTTGCGAGCTGGGCGGAAGCGCCGACGAGTACGTTACTCCCATGCTGGCGGGAGGTGCGACGAGTGCTCCGTCGGTTGTCCGTTGTGATGGCAGACTGTGGTGGGAAGTCAGTTTGAGTGCCGGTGGACAGATTGCGGAAGTAGAGGGGAAAATATTATGTGGGTCACGGCAGAGGAGGGGGGAGGGGGGTTCGAGAGCAGCGCCTTGACAATGTGCTAGCGGTCGGACGGTGAAGCACTCGACTCTGACTGCGACACGGGCTGCTTGCTACCTGCTCACATCAAACGCACCCCCTCCCCCCCCCCC